AACCGACCAGCAGCTGAAATGAGACCCTTGTTCCCTTGTGTTGAAATCTTCAATTGATTCTATACACTGGGCTTTTTACTGCACAAGCCAGCTTTGTAATTTCCCCAGTTACTTATCTCTCTTTTCAGGTGGTTCTCCTTTCTTTTTTTTTCCTCCCTTCTCTTTTTTCTTTCCATCCCTTCCCCATGTCCACATCTCACAGCACCACAGGCTACAAGCTGAAGGCAGACATTGGGGCGGATATTGATGTGCATCTAGAAAGGCAGGACGCAGTCCCGAAGCTTTTCACCATCTTCTTGCTTGGGTAACTCTTCAATTAATTTTCAGAAGTTATTTAACTCAAGGTGTAGTCCTGAAGCAATACAGCATGAAGTCATTAGTCATGAGCAGAATCCTGACATCCTTCTCTTGCTGCAGATGATAAAGCTTCTTCTTGCTTAGAGAGCTGGAAGCTGCACTGACACTGTCAAAAAACTGGCTGGTGTTTGTGCAACAAGAGGCAACGTACTCAATTCCTCCAAGTGCTCAAGAAAGCTCGCAAGACCCTTCTGTCTCTGCTTTCTTAGGAGTGGGAAAGGGGAGATTTGTAGTTCTTGTTACTCTGGAATGCTCCCAAAGGATACAGCAAGTGCTCTTCCGAAAAAAAAACATGTATGTGAGTGTCTTGACACTGCCTCTGAAATGAGTGTTGCAGAGGTCCCCCTGCCCTGCCACCATGATGGCACAGGACAGCCTTTCAGAGCACTGGCACTCATGTCATGGAGGAGGTGGCTCAAATGACTGCTGAGATCCGATACAGGGACTTGTGCTGTTTAAAACCCGTAGTGCACAGGCAATGTGCTGAGCAGTGCACTCTTACTGCCCCTGGTGTGTCCTAGAGCTTTCCTGAGCCTTCCAGAGTTGTCTTAGGTCCAGAATGTCTCTCTTTGCTATTTTTTGCATTTTTATCCTCTCTCCTTCCCTGGAACACTTCCTTGGAAGTGCTTATATCACAAAGGTCTGTAAAGCCACTTGTGGTTTTTAAGTGCTCTGACTTTCTGCCAGTTCCCAAGGCTAGCTTTCTGCAGCCACTGGCCACTCTGTCTCTCAAGACAGGTAGGTGGTTTTTGAAAATGTTTGCAGAACTGAAGCTGCTTTTCCTTTATAGATAAATCAATATGTTTGCCCTTTTTTTAGGAAGTGGGAGTTACAGGTGTATTGCCCTTAGGTGTGCTGCAGTTTTTGCTTTATTTCCTGCTGAAGTGCTGTAATGAGGGATACAGTTATCATGATGCTTATTTGGAGGAACTAGGAAAATGGTAGATCTCGGTTAATGACATCTGGTGGAGATTCCTTTTCTCCCCAGAGCCTTTTCAACAGCCTGATAGCACAGGGTAACTTTAAAGAGGGCAAGAGCTGCCTGAGGCTGCCAGAGGAGCATAAAAGAGATGTGAAAAGACTTAAGAATTAGTTTACTATATGCTTTTCTTATATAATTCCATCTTGACCCCTTTTTCCTTACATCACTATAGTTCATATTCAGACAAGTACAGTATTCTGAAGTGCAGCCTTCAGTTGCAAAAGAAGGTAAGAGTAACAGAGACTGGCTGAAGGCAAAGTTTTAGAATGTTGCTAATAAAAATCATATAAGAGAGGGACTGAGAGACAGGAAGAATTTCTGTGTAACTCTGAGCTCTCACCTGAAGCTGATGCTCCCTTGAGCTCAGTTAGGGCCTGTGGTTTTGGGGTTTTTTTTTGTTAGTCAGAAGTTTGTTAATAACCCAGCAGGGTTTTTGGTCTTTAATGCTTGTTTTAAAGGCAAGCAGTTAAAACTCATAATCTTCCCTTAAAACATTATATTCTGTCCTTCCTAGCAAAATAAATGCTTAGGAAGAGGCATGGGCCACACAGAGGAGCTTTCTGTGAGGTGGTGAGTGCCCGAGATCACACAGCTGATGACTTTGTCATTGCTTCCAGTCACAATCTGTGGTTATGAAACAGCTACTTTGAGCTCAATTATGGAATCATTGGTAAAGCTGCAAAAGCTTATGTTTTAATGTCCTTTTAATACCCTAAAGGTGGAAATTAAACCCTGAAGTCAATTGGTCACAGCGGGGTGGTGGTTCTTTAATCCCTGCTGTCCCCTGTCTTCTGTTAGTTCTGCCTAAAATCCCATGGCTGAGCAAAGAAATACACAAGCATTGTTTACATGATACCTTTCCTGCTTGGCCCTGGGCTCACAGTTCACTGGCATTTTGTAATTAATCAATAATACATAGACTGGTTCTTGTAGGTGCCACTCGAATTCATCCATGTGCTAAGTACACCACAGGTATCATATAAAATTTTTTCATGTGGGTCTTTTTAGAAAGTCAAGAAGCTAACAGTCCAGATAAGTGCTAAGTGAGCTTTTTCAGAATCTTGTTGGATGCAACTCTTGTTTGAAAATGGTTCTGAAAATCCCATTAGCACTTACTCATCTCTTTCACACTTAGTCGCTGTTTAAAATGTCCCCTATGGGCCATCATTTACACTTGTAAGTCACCTGACCATACAGGGTTAGCACTATAGGATGAGAGCAGATGAATAAAGACTGCAAATATTCAATAATTTCTAATTACAGGTGATAGAGAGATCATTAGAAGGTTTTTTGAATTCACATTTGGAGGACTTAATTTTTCAATATTTTGTTATTCCATCAGTTAAGAATCTCTGGAGGAAAAATTGCCCTTGATGTAAGATTAATTGATATAGTGCTTCATCCTTTCACCTACTTTTGGACTGTGCCTTCAGAAGCATGAAAGGAAAACCCCTTGTGACTTCAGTGGAGCCAGAGTTTAATCTTTGTTACAGGGAGCAACTTTATGATTGGACCCAATAAGAATATCCATGGTAACTAATGTGTACTGTTGCAATTTCTGACATTTATTCATCCAAAACACAACTGATAATAGAAAACAAAACTTTAATTTTCAATTTTGATCCTTTAAATTATGCTGATACAACATCTTTTGGGAACATTTATGGAGTGTAATTTAATAATGATATTTTTCCCACATACAGATTGCACAATAGGTAAATTAAAATTGAAGCATTAAAGTGAAGATGTCTTTACCATAATACTGAAATGATTGTGCAATATTTACAATTACTTTATTTTTTTCCCAAATAACACTGGTGGCACCTGGAGTTTTGTTTATCAATTTCAGTTCTATATTATTCATAAGATGAGAGAAATGCATAATTTAATAATATATTCTCTCATGCTCTGTTTTCCAATTTCCTGACTTAATCCCTATGAAACCCTATTACTTGTGCTCTCAATGAATATTTATTTCACATTCACTTTATTTTGGCCTTTGTCCTAGTTGCAAAGGTTCCTGTAGCAGCACACGTAAAACCAGGATATGACAAATGGGGTGCCATATCTCTCACTTAGGTGCCTGGAGTTAAAACACCAACTCCACAGCTAGGGTAGCAAGATTAGATCTGCATTGGGTAGCACTGCAAAAGTACACCTGAAGTCAAAAGCCACCAGATCTTCCTGCAAAAGGGCTGTAGCAACCTTCTGTCAAGAGTCACAGGTGTCACTAGGTTAAAGAAAGCTGAGCCTCAAATTAGTGTTAATCACCAAATCCTCCATTTCACTACTTGTGAAAATCAAGGCTTCTCTTGCTCCTGCTTTCTGCATGTGTGGGACCATGAGGTTCTGGCCTTAAGATACAAGGAAAAATGAAGTCACAAAAATTGCAGCAGTGGAGATGTAGGTTGGATATCAGGAAAAATTTCTTTGCCACAAAGGTGGCCAAGCACTGGAACAGGTTGTCTGGGACAGTGGTGGGGTCTCCATCTCTGGAGGGATTTAAAGGACTTGTAGGTGTGGTGTGGTTTAGCAGTAGATTAATGATTGGACTTGATGATCTTAAGAGTCTTTTTCAACATAAATAGTTCTATGATACTGTGAAAAGGAGCCTGAAATAATGAAAAATTTTTTCTCGGCCACATTTCTTGGTGTCCCATGTTCTTGGAGTCATCTGTGGTCTTCTCGTATGCTGTTTTGGGAGACTCTTGAGTGTGACAGAGGTACATGCATGGAAGAACTATGTTGAAGGTGTGTGTCATTCTGAGGGTCTTTGGATACTTTTGAAGAGAAGCTGGATCTGGCATTACTGTTGTCTAAAACAAGTACAGCATTCGCCAGGATCTCACCTAAGCCTTCCACCATGCACCAGCAGAAGTTATTAGGGAATGACATCTCTCTGTTGCTGTTAAGACACCCATTCATTATTTTGTGATGCCAAGTGTAAATTGAACACGCCAAGGCTGAAGTCTAAAAGATCTTTTTTTTGGCTTTGATTTCTGCAGAATGGACACACAGCAATCCCTCTAATACTGTTACTGCACAGAATCATGTTTAAAATTGCTTCAGTGCTCTCTCTAAATCAGTAATATGAAAGAAACAAAGTGTAAAACTGTCATTTTCTGACAATACAGACACAACTGGAAGCTGTGGGCTCACTTGCAGGTCTTGTAGGGATGGATGTAATAAAGTGACATGTTTCCATTTCAGTCTTCCCAGCCCTTAACATAGTCCAGTGGCCATTGTTACAGTGTGTTTTCCTCTTTATACCTTACCTTCTTTCTTTAATGGCTGTACTGTTTATTTCAGGACAAGACTTACTGTATGGACTTTACATTTTTAACTTGTTTTCATTATTTGACTTTCTGCGGTGCACAAGAGTAAAACATGAATGTAGAAAAGATGCCCAATAGTCTGATGGAAGCTTGGTCCCAGAACTATCCCTCCTTGTCTTGTGGTCTCTTTCCCCAGTGTGGACCTGGGACAGAACTAATCCCACTCTCTGGAGAGTAGGAAAACACTGAGCTGAGATGCTGCTTGGAGCAATTATGAAGCAGCTGCACACAGGTTCCCCGTCAGAGATCCCTCCTGGCAGTGAGTTGAATACGGAGGTGAAAGCAATTCTAGGGCTCAAGTGTGACTGTTCTCTTCTTTCTCTCAGGTGGGAGCTCTGTGGCCTTTCTCTCACCCAGCATGGAGGGAATATGTTTTTAAACGAGATTCTGGGAGTCCATGGACTTACAGTTGAGAATGGAGGTGATGAATGCCTTCCTTACTTCAATTTTATTGCACAGAAAAACATTTTATGCTTGAGTTTTCTGGTACCAGTTCCCATAGCTTTTGAGAACAGGTAATAACTCATTCTAGAGCTTATTTAAGGCTGATAAAAGTGCTGGATTTTAAAGAAATTTCCCATTGTCACGCTGTTCCTTTATTGTCTGTTGTAGGGTTGTGCATTGATCTGAAGGACACTGGCTGCCCTTGGCTATGGTGTTTGAACTGAACTCTGCATTGTTGTAGAGTAATAGTATGTGAAAATTGACTATTCATTTTAGGATAATAAACTGGGACTGAGATCTTGGATCTCTTGAAATGAACGTGTGGCTTGTCATTGACTTCACTGGGGACATGATTTCTTCATTTTACCAGGGGGGATTTGGCATAGATATGTTGTTAAAATGAAAAACAAAGTTTGATGTAATTAAAGTAACTTGGAGTGCTGAGATCTACTGAGAGATGGCTCTTCCTGTCTTAGGGTGAGTTAAAGTGGATTTCTATTGTTTCAAGCTAAGCAGGTGCCTTTTTTCCAAGTCTTGTAAGTGTTGGGCTTGCTCCAAGTTTGCTGTGACTGGTGATTCTTCTCATCTTCAATGCTAACTGGTTTAAAAAATATTATTTTATTGTGCCTATTTGCATCATCTAAGGAAATGGCTGACAACATTTGGCAAAGGTGGGATGTTTTTTCTCCTTATAAATAATTTAAATTCCTTAATTGAAGCACTGGGGTTTTTTTTGAAGCAGGTAAATCGGCTCCTTGAGGAAGAATGGTACTGCTTGTGTAGCATGCCATCATTAAAGTGTTCTCTAGGCCTGCCATTTAAATTTGGAAGGAAATCCATTCCCTAAAGGAATAAAAAGGGCAGGATTGGTGGCCAGAAAGTCAGGGTGAGTTAGTCATCAGAAAAATCTTTTATTCATGAAATTAATAAATAAGGGAGAACTGCAAAAGACATGCTGCTGGGTTTTGTCAGAAAAATGAAATAAAAGGAGTTGCAAAGCTGGCTTCCTGACAAAATGTCACTTTCAGTTTAAAGCATAGTTTAAAATCAAATTCAAAAACTGCTAATCAGTTTTGTCCTCTTTGAGTTTGTTTGTGTCTTCTATGGATATTTTTAGATCTGAAGGCTTCCTTTATCAGAACATCCATGGAGAGCTCTGTTCCATGCAGAAAGCTTGGCCTACAGAATCTTCTTAATTTGAAGCTGGTATCCTGCCACTTTCCCTGTCTCACTGCAGCAGCCCCAGTACTTGTGGTGTCCCAAACAAATAGGAATTTGGGCAGGAAGGATCCTTTGGAGGCTCAGACAGCCCTACTTCTCCCTCTCCTTTATTAAATACTCTTTGTAGTGATGAAATTTGTGCCTTTTGGCTTTACAAACTGAACTGTAGAAAGAAAAGTCTGGGGTTTTAAACAAACCTCAACCTCAAATGTGACAGCTTATTTTTTGTTGATCATTTTTTGTCTTTGCCTAAAAAGCATCTCTCTTGATATTGCACAGTTTTAATCCCTGTCACCTGAGCAAGCTTCTTCTGAGGAGCAGTTGAAGGGAAAAACCCAAAAAGATGTTTTCTTGTGGAAGCATCCAGAAAAAGCACTCCTCTTTTTTTCTTTTTGCTGTTTAAAAAACCCACCCAACTTTAACCATTAAAATCAGTAAATGTTTTATTGTGGGATTGCTTTCAAAGCAGTTCCCTAAGATGGAAGACTTCTAGGAGCCTGTGAAGTGTCCCTCTTGGGCTCAGGGACACAGGGACTCGTGCAGTAAGAAGCAATCCTTGCACTCCCAGACAGAATGGAAATGAGTTCGATTTGTTCTCCTAGTGCTTCAGGAGAGCCCTTTGAGAGGATCAGAGCATCTGGTAACATTCACTCAAGTGTCCAAACTGTGACTTTCCTTTCATGTGAGACAGGAGTGACTCTGTTACCTAATTCCTGTCACGTAAAGTCATTTTCAGGAAGGAAAGAATCAAACCTAGAGTCTATAAAACATGACACATCTGTAGATTCATAGATTTGTACTTGGAAGGAAGCTTTAATACTTTTCAGTAACATCCCTGACCCTCTTTATTTTTTATTATTCCACAGTACAATTCTTGTAATTTTTTTTTAGGATACATATACCATAGGTTTGTTGTCATAAAAGTAGTTCATAAATGTCATACATGGTATGCATAATGTTAAATTGATGTTTATTCTGTGCTTCCAGTCCTACCTTAAAGATTTGAAAAGAGAAAAATAAATTTTACAATTACAGTTTTATCCACTAGACAGTGGCACCAGCGTAGCATATGACCTCCTAACTGAATTACTCTGAATCAGCTTCACTTGAATTTAACAGTATAATCTCTGCTGCTGTTTTGGAAATACAGCAGGCAGTGAATCTGCTCTGGTCTGTGTTCACTAAGCATCTACCCAGGCTCAAGCCTGTACTCATAATGGCTTGATTTTCTTGTAGCAGTTTGACCAGATGTAATTACTGTGCCTTCAAAAGACTGTCTCCTCATTTTACATGAATTAGACCTAAAAATATCATTTCGGATAGCTAAAATCCAAATGCAGTACCACTGTGTAATTAACATATCTCTGTATTCCTGCAGAAAGGATTGTGTTCAGGATGAATTTCTATTATGTTCCTGTTATCACAGCAGTCAAGGTGAAATGCCACCTGCGTTATCCCTTGCAGTCACAGAGTAGATAAGCTGTATTTTATTGTCACAGTGTGAATCAGTTGTGCAGTCTGACCTGTCGTAAGCAGGTTCTGCCACTGGTATCTTGCCAGGGGACCACTCATCTGGGGAGGGACTGGCTGTGTGTCTAATCTCAGATCCTGCCTCTGGCTGCCTTTCAGCTGTGAGACCTGGGCCAGGAGTTGGACTTCGATGATCCGTGTGGGTCCCTTTCGGCTCGGGATATTCTAGGACTCTATGACTGTGGATTCTTTGACTCTGGGAGCAGCTTAGATTTATTCACCAGCAGTCTGCATAAACTTTGATTGTTTTTGCTTCATACAACAGCAACGTTAAACACTGGAATGGGAGCTTAGCAAAGATTTTTTGATTTCTTTTCTTTCTTCCCGCTCATTTTTTCCCTCACAGAGTCCAAGAAAGTTTTAGATTTGTGGAAAAGTGCACAGTCCTTTATATGATCTTTCTCTTTTCAGAGACTTCTTGTGCAACAGCCTTGAAGCCAAGACCTCCCCTACCTCTGCTTCCTTCTGTCAAGTCCCCTTAACAAGGATGGAGTGGCTGACTTGGGTTTGGAAAAGCTCTCCTTGGTTGGCTGAGGCCCTCAAGCTGCTTCCCTCAAGGTTACATGACTAGAATCGGCCTGTGTAGTTCTATCTACCTATTTAAGCTTCTGTAGAAAAAAAAGTGATTCAAAGGCCAGAGCTTTCTGGCAGACATCCCCTTGTTCAGCTGGCTGGGAGTCTTTTGGGCTCAGTGACCTTGAATTCCTTTTTTGCAAAAAAGGCACAACTTTTTCCTTATTTCTAGTGGCTCCTGCCACATAATGGATGATCTTGTCCTTTAAGTGGTAGAGCTGATATTCCCTGATACGTATTCCCTGTAGCTGTTATGTATTCCCTGAATTTTCAGATGTTACATGGAATACGGGGCAAAAAATTGATAAATAGGACCTGACTCTTCTTTCTGTTGCCTTTCTGGAGGCAGCTCACTTCCCCTGCAATTAAATTCATGACTGATTATGTGCTCCCCTTGTTATATCTGATGAGACTGATAAATAGCAAACACTGCAAAAGCAACTAGTGCCTCCAGTGTTTTTATCTTGCTCAGGGGCTGCATCCCAGGTTTAGTTTTGTTTACTGGAGTTGGAAGACATGGAGAGAGAGGGAAATACAGGGTAGGTGTGGTGGTGGCAGTGTTGCTGTGTGTGCTGACATTTATCAGCACTTCCTTCTGTTTACTCCTGCATCAGATGAAAAGTCAAGAGGGTTTGTACACAACTAGAGCCTTTAGCACTTCCTTTGTGCTATCTTTTTTCCTCTTCCCAGTTTCAGAGACCTGGTGGTTAGAGAGAGGCTCTTGGGGATGAGCTCTGAGTTGTTGATGTGATTGCCAGCTTTCCTTTTGCCTTCCCTGTCTTGGTGATGGAAAAGGCTAGTGGATGTGTGTGCATTCAGAATTTAAGACTTCCTAAAATGCCAGTGAGCAGGTGGTAGCATTTGGTTTTGTTGTGTTCTCAGATTTGGTTTTTGAGAAAAAGGATCATTGCAAAGTGTCTCAAATGTCTCAAATTTCAATACTTTTCCACCTAAGCAGTGCCCAAATGTAGTTTCTTAACGCTTTCAAATTAACTAACCTAGTACTAGCTCAACTACTAACCAAGCCAATGTCTTCTTACAGGTCAAACCTGTGTTTATACTGCAAAGGTGTGAAATAGAGGTAGAACATAGCTGGCAAGTCAATATACTGTCTCTCAGGGAAAGTTTTTACATGTATTTACAAATATGACATAAAATTTGGATTTTTGATAGGAAATCATCTGCAACTTCAGCAATGTTTGAAGAAATGTTATGGCTGATCATAAATGAGAAGGACATTCATTGCAAAAGATACCTTTCCAGTCAACCTCCACTCTACTGGTTTTCTACAGATCTCTGCTTCCAAAGTGCTGAAACAGAGCTCATGATTCCTCCACTGTGAGTCACCTTATTCCTCTATAATTAAGGTGAAATATCAGTTTAATAAAGTGAATGTAATGACTGAATTTGAGCCCTATGTTAACAGGGAAAGTTACTGACATTCTTTTCTCTAGATTTGCATACAGGAGTCATTGTCTGAAGAACATATGTCTGTTTTCAGACTTAGTCCTAATTTCATCAAACTGGGCTTCGTGCCATATTCTTCCTATTATTATTTCATACAGGAGATCAAACTTGAGAAATATTCCTGCTGAAATTTTTAAGTTTCACACTTCAAATTCAGGAAAAAACTACCTAATTGAAAATAATTTTTCAAAATTTAATTAAGCATATTTGTTACTTTAATAAGCAGTTGAACTTTGTTAACTTTTTGATTGGCACTCAGCAAGTTCCCCTGAGTGTGATATGGGCTCAACTGAGTAAAGAGCAGCCTTTTTAATTAGTTTTCCTTGAGGGCGTGGCTTTGTGTTTGCTTATCACTATGTTGTTAGGACTGTTAATGATTTGGTGGCAGCAGCTGCAGGTAAAGGTGCAGGGAAGGTGATTGTGCCTCCTTCACCCCTCCAGGATCTGGATTAAAATAGCTATTTTTCACAGCAGGGGTAAATAGTAGCAGAGAGGTAGTGTTG